TAATAATACTCCAAGCTGAGTTTGTATATAATAATTATGTTAATCGCTCCACTAGTAAAACTCCCTTTGATTAAAGTCAGCCTATATCTCACATTTTAGATAGAAATTGTTTGCCTTTGCCAAATATAATTAGTGCTGAAGCTTCTGAAACTTTTGACCATATCAAAACTGTCCAACAACAAGTCCTTGAAAAACTCTGAATGACTAATGTTAAATACAAATATGCTGCTGACAAACATCATAGGGAAGCTTATTTCAAAGAAGGAGAATTGCCGACGATTTCCTGTTGGTACTTTTGGAAATTAAGCAGGAAGAAATTTGGGCCTTTTCGTGCTCTAAAAAAATTGGGCTCAAATGCTTATCTCTTGGATCTTCCTACTACTGTTGGCACTTCTCCTGTGTTTAATGTTTCTGACCTTTCTTTATATGAAGGAAATTCTAAATATCATGTGGAAATTGAAACTTTGCCACTCTCCACATCTATTTTAAATAATGATGAATAGGTTGAAGATGTTATTGATGTCAAAGTTACTAAAAATTGGCATGGCGAAGACATGAGGTTTTTGGATAAGTGGAAGAATCGTCGTTTGACAGACTGTATTTGGATGGATGCCAATGAGTTGAAGAAACGTCATTTGGATCTTTATAAAAAGATTGTGGAAGCTTTCTCATAAGGAGATGAGATTCTCCCACCAGGGGGAATTGATGCATTCATGTTTTTAGTTTTTAGTTTTTTTTTATGTAATTTGAACAATATTAGTTGTGTTTTATATTTTTTTAAGCTATCCAATGATGGAAAGCATCCAATGATCATGGTAGGAAGTGCTTGGGCATGGCAAGTCTTGGATTTGCTTGCATTTGGTTCCTTCTTATCCTTGGGCTGCTTGCTGTTCTCGGTTTGGGGCCTTGACTGCTATCGGGTTGGGCTTTGGCTGGTTGATTTTGAGCATAAAAAGTTGGGTTCTACTTGGTGCTAGCTCATTAATGCTTGAGCTGAAGTTTAGCTCATTATTTGGAGGAGTAATTGCACTTCCTAGCTCATAAAATCATAAAGGTATGTGGAGTGGAGCTTCTCTTCCTATTCTTGAGTCTCTTTGGTATGTGAGTAAATGCAGTGGGCGGGTTGTCTTTTCGTTTCTTCTCCCTGGCTATTTTCCCGTGACCCCTCTGCCCTGTTTCCTGTGTTGGCTCCACGGGTCCCACTCTGGCTGCTTTCCCGTGGCTTGCTAGCTCTTTGGTTGGAGGTGGAATGTCTATATGACTACCCTTTTGTCTATATATTTGAAGGATTTTGTTATGAAGAGGTTATTGAATATTTGAGCAAAGTCTCTACTAAAAACTTGAGGGTTTGTTCTCTTGGAAAAGCTTGAGAGCTTGTTCCACCCCCTTTCCTCCTCTCTATTTCATCTTGGCTTCTAACATCTTCTCTACGCAAGTTTCCACTCCACCTGTATCCTTCTTCTTGAGCTCTTAGAAGTTGTTTGTTGGTTGATTTTTTGAGACATTTGCCGGAGGAGTTTGGTAGGGCGTTAGACCATTTTGCAATGGTGGACCATCGGTTTGCAAGCCTAAGCACTATTTTCATATATTTTCCTACCCTCGTTGCATGTGAGGAAACCGCTTGACGGTTGTTCTGAGGATAGCATTTTTATGTTTTAATTTTGTTTCGTTTGATTTGACTTTTCGTTTATCTGAATGTTTATTTGGATGTTTGCAAATTAAAGTGAATCGAGTTTGATTTTATTTTGTCCTTGTGTTCTCCAACTTGGTTCTTCTTTCTAGTTTGCATTCATCAATTAATACCATAAATGAGCTAAATTAATTGGGATTGACCATATAAGCCACATAAACATTCGACAGTATCATCATTATTGTCATCGTCATTATTGTTAATCTTAACCAAACTATTTGGGACTGACCATGAATCCTCAAACTTCAATCATTCTTGAGTCTTCTTAAGCCGAGCTCAGTTGCGCGAGCTTGTAATCCAAGTGGAGGCATTTCGTGCTTTGAATGATTGTACTGGTTCCGTAGGCTAGGTACTGACCCATCCGATCCAAGATGGGCAGTGATGTTTCTTGTCTGGGCAAAAGTTTGGGTTAGAAACCTCCAGAATTGGAGAGGAAAGCGTGAAGCTGGTTTAACAGAGCAACGATTACCTCTAGCTCTCGTCGGTGGATGGATGACAAGCCAGTGGGCCAAGCAACCCATTTAAGCTCTTGGGTCGACTTTACAATCAAACAAAGCATTTTTTTATTTTTATTCTTAAAAAAAAAGACGTTAAATCACTTTTGCATAAAACTTTTTGCACTTGTTCTATCCATATTACAATTATTTCTTCATAATCTTTCAAATTTAACTTTATCCACCTATCTTATTGGTACATTTTTTTACCCTTTTGATGCATAGCCCAAACCACCTAAAGGCTCATTTGATTGCTTTAAGTCACAAAAACATATTTTGAAAAATAGTAAATTTTGAAAAACTCATATATTTGTTTGGATTAATTAGCAGATTTCAAACTGCTTACATCTCAAAACTCTTTTGAATGTTATAGTTTCATTTTCAAATACAAACTGAATGTAAATGAAGTCATCACTTTCTAAACATTTTTTCAAGCTACATGCAACCAAAATGAGCCTAAGTCTACTTATATCTTGTCAATTTAAACGCGTGCTAATCAATCCTTCCTAATTTGATACATTCAAATTGCTATCACTGACCGCTACAAACATCAAGTAGGTAGTTTGCAGTTGGTTTCTATATGAAGAGAATGCAATTTACTTGAGTTCAATGTGCCATTCAAGAGAAAACTTAATTCTAGACCACTAAATTCACAAATGCTTTAGAAATACCAGATATAAACTGAACTTGTGAAAGGACACCCAAATATCCCACTTTCAGCACAAACACCACTTATAGAAGTTGGTACATACAGCTTAGCCCCGTTTAGCTATATGTATGTTAATGGATTTGGACTGTTGAATAAACACAAGGCAGTGCAACTATTTGCCTTCTACAAGAAGAACAAAATATTAAAAGACTAGAAACGCTAAACAAAGGAAAAATCCTCAACAAAGTATAGAAAGCAGAGGAGTTTTTCAGTAAAGGTTCCTTAATCAAGATGGTTGAGTTCAGTTATTTTTTTTTTTTTGAAAAGAAATCTAGCATTTAAACTCTGGCATATATCTCTGAACTTTAAACAGAATGTGTTACAAGAACATTACACTGTAAATGCTGTTATCACAAGCTAGACCCAGCATTCCTATTTATTTGGAGATCTATGGTAAAGAAGTAAAGTGGAACAACTAAGATTTCTCAATCATCAAAGGATCTATGAAATCGTGATGCACTGTTTGTTGATCGTGATTTCTAACTCACAAATAAAAGGAAAACCTTTGCTACTTGTGGAGCCCATTATTTGACAAAACTTGGTAAGTAGGTACCTATCTTTCATTCTCCATAAAACCCTACTTGAAACTCCAGGCCAGATTGCTTTAAGATTCTCCAAAAATAAATGATAAACAAAAACACTAAATTAAAAAAAAAGAAATCTTTAACATGTATAAATAATTTTGTCGACAAATTTTCCTTCATGATGAAACAGCCCTGCTCGTTTCAAGTATGTTATATTATACTAGAGCATTAAAATCTTAGACTTTTAATTCAAATGTTAAAACTTCCGTGCTACGTAGATCATAAATCTTGCACTTTGTGACGGTCAGGTTTAAAATTTAAGAAAATAGCTTTCAAGGTTAGACCTAGACATTTTTATGCTCCACCAGAACTACAATACAACTTTCACAAAACTGTCAGAAGAAATATTATCATTTTTGCTTTAGTCCTTCGTAGAGAGTGAAATCATGCAGGATAAAGTAGAAACTAACTAAAACGAAAGGCAAAAGAAGGAACATATAACATGAAATTCGATAAGCCAACATGAAACAGGAAATGTTTGGTGACATTACAAACTACGGTGCATTACCTCACGTTTGTCAGCAGCAGCCCTTTCTATGACCTCATTTAGTCTGCTGTCACACCTGCTTTTGTAGAGAACCTAAATTGAGAGTAAAATTTCCTTTTAAGGCAACGTAGTACACCACATAGGAATCTGACGCTATAAAGATAATATCAAGTTCAAATTACAATTTGAAAAAATAATAATAATAATGAGTATGCATGTATGCCTTTATGAATAAACATGCATGTAGGTACTACCATGTATGTATACATATATACATGGATAGACCTTTATAATGTCTAAATGTTCAGAATAAAAAGAAAAGCCCATCAAAACATTTAAAGGAATCATTACAAGGATAGAATCCAATAAAATGAATGAGACTGTATTATCATAATACAATCAATAAGCAAATAGTACCACGCTTCCAAGATACAGTCAGCATCAGAAAATTGAAGAGCTCAGTATTCTAATCATACTCATCCAGGTGATTTATATATCGCAGCACACCCATCTATATAAAGTATGCTAGTTATTCTCATATGTTTAAAAGACAGAGTTGGTTGGAATAATGATAGAAATACTTGAATATTTCAAGTAATCCCTAACAAGATTGATAAAAACAGCGAGAAAATCTCAATATCTCCAATGAAAACAATCCAAAACAGTAGATGGTATTATGGAATCAAACCAAAATCAAGAACAAAGCAAAAAATACAATAGATCCACAATTCGAGAGGACGATCCTTCTCTCCCAATATCTAGACGATGAATCTAGAGCCCAAGACACCCAAGGGAACTCCAAGAGAATATAATAATAAGCATAACCCTAAGGAGGCATTATTTTGCCTACTACAAAACCGAACCGGCCCTTGCTGGGCCAGTTGGGATGATTCGACCTGAACCTAACAAATAATTACCAGAATAAATTAGCAAGATGAACAACACTCATCTCTATGGTCGAATTTGGTTGGGATCTAAGATCAACAAGCTAAGGTTTACGTCCATCTAAAATAGTAGCTAATCTAAAATGAAGAAGAGAGCCCAAATTAAATATAGATTTTATGATTGCTTTAAACCTTTTAAGTAATAGAGGTCAAAATTAGATTTTTTCATTCAATTAACACAAAAATCTAATACTTATTAAATTAATAATTTGTAAGAGCTGGCAATCAGTACCTAATTAAAGAGAAAGTAGGGTTAATCGGCCATTGCACACATTTAGATTAAAAGAATCAATCACTAAATAACTCAACTAGGCATGATTAAGGGCCTTCAAATAGTTAATTTACACCTGATTAGCCACTAATTGCATTTAGGGGCTGTTTAGTTGGATTACATTAGGGTGTAAAGAATTCCAAATGTAGTGGTTTTGAAAATTTTGGAGTTTGGTTGGATGAAAAATGAATGCAATGTAAAGTAAATATAATGTAAACCATTCAAGTTCATTTTTTAGATAAACCAAACTCGCCCAATTTTGAGCAAGAACGGACACCGCAAGCAAGCTCGCTTGACCGCCGCCAACCGCAGCCGGCCACTACCGCCAACCACCTCCAACTTTCTCTGGCCACCACGCCTGCCACCGCCACTCGCCTCTGTCCAACATCGCCACCGCCATCGACCACCGTCACTTGCCTGCCACTGCCACCACTTCCGGAAGACACCCCCAGACACCACCGCCACCGGCCGTCACCATCTTTAAACTTTACACTATATTCATTTTCCTTCAAACCAAACAAAAATCATTCACCTGCATTTTCTTTACACCCATCCAAACAACTCTAAAGTACTCATTTTATACTGCATTTATTTTTTAGCCAACCAAATAACCCCTTAAACAACTCTAAAGAAATCATTTTATACTGCATTTATTTTTTAGCCAACCAAATAACCCCTTAATTTTTACCCAATTAAAGCCCAAAGCTAATCAAAGGTTAATTAAGAATAATTATCCAAAGAAAAACATAACTAGCAAATAATAGACTTACAATTCGATTACAAATAATTTTGTTTAATAATATACTAATAATTTCATTGGTAGCAAATATCATTGACTAATAATATTTAGTTAACCACACCAACAAACTAAGACTTGAACAAAAGTTATAATCAGTGTTGTTAAAAACATGCTTCAACAACAAAGCATTATGATGTGATTGACCCAAATGATTTATGTTGAGTTGGCAAAGCAGATGTTGTGCTACATAAAATGTTGAACCAATTTAAATTATTTGGGTTCATAGATTTAATATACTATACACCTAAACTAATATAATGTGACTTTACCTTTCCCATCCAATTATCTCTAAATGCAACAGTGAATTGTTTACTCGGATGGTTGTGATGTATTGAGGATATCAATATAATATAATATAATTAATTATGTGCATAAAACACGAGGGAATCACTCACGCACTCACAACATATCCATTCCCATTCCAGTAAGCAACTGGTTATGAGCAGAAAATAGATGACTAAGAGGAAGAAAAGGAAACTATGGAGGCTAAAGCTTGGTTTTGGTAAGGATTTTTTTATTTCTTGTATTTTCTCTAAGGAATCAACTTCAATTTGAAGTTGATGGATATGGAGGCTTGTATGAATAGTATGCTGTCCTTATGTAAGCAATTTCATTACATAATGAGTATATGTAATGCCACTAGACTACTCTCTAATCATAATTTTTAATCCAATCTAATTCATGATTAGCATATATAATGTTGTTTCCTTTCATTGAGTACTTAAATTTTATGTTAAAATTAATTATCTTGTTGAGCTTTATAGCTCGTCAGATTATTTTTCTAATTGTTGTTTCAAGTAGAGAAAAGGACAAGATTGAGCCTAAGTGAGAATCAAGTATTGAATCTGCAACCTTATGTTTTGATGTTTAATTCTGACGCAAGATATCAAGCATGCTAAAATAATGTATATGATGAAAATTTGATGTTATGTATATAAACTTTGATGTTTACTAGAAGTTTTATAGTTCGTGAATAAAATATTTTGGAATTCTTTTGCACAATTAACTTGTATTATCTTCTTTGATCTCTCTGAGTCTAGGGTTGTGTTGGATGCACATGTTTGGGTAATTCAAGTGATTGATTATATTAACCATACTATTTTAATGGGTAAAGTTCAAGGAGTGATGGAAATATATTCGATCAGCCAAAATGCACCTGATCAGTCAAACCTTGCGCTTGATCACGTGCTAATGGTGAAGCTCAAAACACAAAACTTTATACTCCTCTGCCAATTCCTGAAATAATTTGATGGGATATAACTATAGATTTTATTATTGGTTTTAATCAACCCAAAGATGAGTTGCTTCAGTTTCATTGTAGTCAATCAATATTCCAAGAAGTTGAACATCATTCCATACGGATGCTTCACACATGGCTCATCAATTCTTCTAAGAAATCATTCACTTCCATGGAGTATCTAGTTGAATCACTACAAACCAAATGTCAAGTTCCTAAGTCATTTTTAGTGGATGTTGTAAAAGTTACAAGTCACCTATAAATGAATAGACAAACGGAGATGGCTACTCTCACACTTAGACATATTATTCAATTTGTTTGTGGTGATAAACTGAAGCAATGGGATGATTACAACAACAACAACATCAAGTCTTTATCCCACTACGTGGGGTCGGAAGCAATGGGATGATTCCATTAAATAAATAGAGTTCGTTTTTAACAGCATTGACCAACAATATCCCTTTAAAGTTGTCTATACTAGAGTTCCAAGGCATACCATGGAGTTGATTTATCTACCTTATTCTCATAATATTAATCTCATGGCTGGGAAGTTTGTTGAACATGTTCAACAAATTCATCCAGATGTGAAGAGATATCTAGAAGAAGCTAATTCTCGTTACAAGATGGTTGCAGATCAACATTGACAGCTTAAATTTTTCAGGGTGATTTGGTGATGGCACATCTTCATGAAATCATTATCCTGTAGGGAAATATAACAAGCTAAAAGATAAGAAGATTGGCCATTCTCGCTTATGACAAATGATTAGGGACAATACTTGTAAGTTTCATGTTCTTTCCAACATGAACATTTCTAACACTTCTAATGTTGCTAATATCTTCAAATATTTTCCTCTAGATGAATTTTCTTTGTAGTTACAAAACTCGAGCGCAAGTTTTCTTTAATAGGAGGGAGTTTATGTAGCACTTGACTGCATGGCAACCTATTAGCTTCCTATTTAGTAGTTTCCATAACCTACATAATATTTTAAATTTCTCTTTTTTTCCCTATTATTTTGTTAGGCTTGCTTATAAATTGGATAAAATCCATTATACTCCATATCTTTTTCCATTTTGAAAAAGGAATTTGGTTTCCCATTCTTTCTCCAATTTTCCCAAACCTGTGTTATCTATATGCCAGCATAATGTGGAGGCCTTGGGACTAACTTGATCCCTGTTCATACTAGTTATGAAATCTTGTGCATTCAATGAAGCATCTCCTAAAGTCCAGACCCTCAAAATAAACTCAACATGAAAAGTAGAACACCAAGAATGTACTGGCTAACCAACAACATTTTGGCAATAATAAAATATGCACTATTAAAACAGTGACTTCTCATAGAACAAACCCATTTTAATAAATATTGGAAATGAGTTTTAGAAGAGAAGAAAAACATCATCTAATAAACAAGAGCACTGAACTACATATTATCTGCACAGAATGAGATAACATAAAAAGAAATATGTAAACAATAGTAACTCACAAGTTCTTGCATCTGTTTGCGGTAATTTTCGGTCTTCTGCTTACAATCAAGGATCTCCTTCTCCAATTCTTGAACCTTCAGGCATTATAAGGACGTGAGTATGCATCGTTTAAAAGGACTATCTAACAATTCAAAAGGCAGACAATAAACATGGGATCATCTAAACAATTTGCACCGCTTTTGCTTTATAAAAATAAATAAATAAATAAGATTAAAAAAATTAAAAACTAAAAACTTTAAAAACTAAAAAAAATCTGCATCGGTAGGCAAGAGAACATCAAATTTAAAAAGCTCAAAATAAATCAATGAAATGGCATGCAAGATAAAGATATCCACATATTCCAACGTAAAAAGCAAAATTGCCAATGCTGGGTCCCAAGTCCTAGAAAAGAAAATAAAGCGTTACATTAGGTAGTCAACAATCAACATAAAACTTATCAAACAAACATGGCATGAATCCTTTAATACATTTAATTCTAGAACATTCCTTAGAAACGACACACTGTATGACCTAAATATACGAAAAGTGCGCAAGGGCCGCCACACTAGCGCCTGGGTGTAATGTCAAATAAGCAAGAGTTCCCAAATGATGGACATATGTGGGAAAAGAAGCTAGTCCATAAAATTAAAATTATAATAGGAGCTTGAAATATAGGTACTCTTACAGAAAAATTAATAAAATAATAAATGTTATGATTTATATGAAAATAAATATTCTATATATTCAGGAAACTATATAGGTTGGACAAAAAGCTAAAGGAGATGATAGTTTATGATTTAAACTTTCGTATTCAAGTAAGATTCATATTAGAAATGATATAATGTTGATCATATATAAGAGAAGGATAATGTTGTAGAAATTAATAGAATTGGAGATGAAATTAAAGCTTTAAAGATTATTGTAGAAACTAAAATTATAAATATTTTAGTTGTTTATGCTCTCAAATAAGTTTGAATATATGTTCAAAAATAAAATTTTAAAATAACTTAGAAGAATTATACAAAAGATACCTCTTGAACAAAGAGTTTTTATTGGAAGAGATTTAAAAAGACATGTTGGGAGAGTTGTAGAAGATTTTAAAAGCACTCATAGTGACTATGAGTTTGGAGCAACTAATAAAGGTGTTATAATCATATTATAATCTACTATAGCAAATATTTTTTGTAATTATCAATGTTTTATTAAAAAGAGAGGAACATCCATCATTATAAGAATGAACATAGTAAGACTTAAATTGATTGTTTTTTATAAGGGTAGGCCTACTCTGGAAGCTATACATTTATTGAGAGGTTTGATGGAGACGTATAAAGAGAATAAGGAGGATCTACATAAGATATTTACTGATTTAGAGGAAGCATATGATAAAGTTCCAAAAGTGCTATGGAGAGTTCTAGAAAAGAAATGGGTTAATAATATTTATATTCAAATCATTAAGGATATGTATGCATGAGTTGTTACTTGTGTTCAAACACAATGTGGTTTGACCAAGTGTTTTCTTATTTCAGTTGGATTACATCAAGGATCAATCTTAAGCTCATATCTTTTTGCTTTAGTAATGGATGTTCTCACAAGAAATTTGCAAGAGGTTGTACCATGGTGTATGCTTTTTGCTGATGATATTTTTTTCATGTTGATAAGACTAGAGAGGGAGTTGAAGGTAAACATGAATCATGGAGGTCAACCTTAGAGTCTAAAGGTTTTTATTTGAGTAGATCTATAACTGAATATATAGAGTGTAATTTTGGTGGCAATAGATCTAGTGGGGGATTGTGACTTCGGGCGATCAAGTCATTACACATTTTAGATATCTTGGGTCTATTGTTCAGAGTGATCGTGAAATAGATGGGAATATTATTAATAGAATTCAAGTTGGATGGTTGAAGTGAAGGAATGCATCAAGCTTGTTGTGTGATAGAAAAATCCCCCTAAAATTTAAGGAAAAATTCTATAAGATGGTGGTGAGACCTGTAATGCTTTATGATGCAAAATATTGGTCATTAAAAGATAAGCATAATATTAAGTTAAGCGTTACAGAGGTGAGGATGTTTAGGTGGACGAGTGGCTTAACTCTTAGAGACATGATACAAAATGAGCATATACATGAAAAGGTTGGAGTAGCTCCAGTGGATTATAAGATTAGAGATAGTCGCTTTAGATGGTTTGGTTACATAAAACGACAACCATCCAATGAACCGGTTAAGAGAGTAGATGTATTAGATTTGATTTATGTTAAGAAAGTTAGAGGTAAACCTAAAAACACTTGGTTAAAAAATATTAGAAATGAACTTTCTTTATTAGATTTAAATAAGAATTTGACTCTTAATTTGACACAATGGAGAAAAATGATTCATGAAGCCAACCCCACATAATGGGATAAAGGCTTGATGTGGTGGTTGTTGTTGTTGCTGCAAAGATGATGATGCTTGTGTGGATGAGTAGCTTTACAATTAGAGACAAAATGTGAAACGAGCATATAGGTGAAAAGGTTGAAATAGCTCTAATCGCAGATAAGATGAGAGAGTTGTCGTAAATGGTTTGGTTAAATAAAATGTTAGCCTTCCGATGACCTTGTTAAGAGAATAAATGTATTAGATCCGGCCTATGTTATGAAAGGCAAAGGTAGACCTAAAAAGTCTTGTTTAGCAAGTATTAAAATGACAATTTTTATTAGATTTAAATAAGAATTTGACTCATTATAGGACACAATGGAGAAAAAGGATTAATGCAGTGAACCCCACGTTGTGGAATAAAGGCTTAATGTTGTATTCTAAGGCAGAAAGTGCTTCAAATAATAAAGCATGTAGCATGTAGCATGCAACATGCAATAAATGCCTTACTCCCCATCACTTCACTATTAATATTCAAAAAAATAGTAAAAATAATCATGTAAAACCCCTTAAATTCCACTTGTCTCCAAGAAACAAAAGGATGGTGGGAGCCTACGCCCTACGAGATCCAATCCTAACTAGAAAATTATTTTGTATATAAGAGAGAGAGAGGTGTGTGAGTATGATTTTACCCGCATCTCTTTTTTTGATGAAAATGAAAGAATAAGAATGAGGTTAGAAGTGTGAAGGACCTACACTAATCTATTATTAAGAAAGTGGCCTTATTAATTCTGCCAAAAAAGGAAACTAAATCATTTTACTTATTTAAAAATCTAAAAATAATGTAAAAGGAGCTTGAGATATCTAAAGGTGAAGTTCTAAATTTAAAGGGACTCAATCTTGCCAATCATTACCATGCCCCAACTTCCGTATCCTATATTTGATTTACCCTAAAAGAAAGGGTTATTCAGCAAACTTATCAACCTGACCTACTAATGAGAAAATTCAACTTTTAGCACGTGAAATTTCAAGTAGTGCACAATAAAATAATACAACATAATGCTAGAAAAGTGTACAGATACTTGACAGTTTTCCTAGATCCAATAATCAATAGGATAACCACATACCTTATTATCAGCATCAGTTGCTTCTTGTAACTTCGAGTTGAGCGCTTTCTGTTCCTCTTCACTAAGCTGGTTCAACATGTTCTGCTCCAACACTGGCACTTTTGTTTTTGGTTGCACTGGCGACACTACATCATCAGGCTGAGAAGGGATTGGAGTCCTTGTGGAAGACTCCACCCTAGTGGGAGGCACAACAGAAAGAGAGCCCGGCATTGGCTGTTGAGATAAAGCTGAGAGACAAATAAATCAATAGCATGTAAATGAAATGCCAATCAATATGTAGGCATAGAAGCATCATCAAAATAGGAAAAAAAAATGTTCCTAATCCAAGAAAACAAAGCAAGATTTAATATTTAAAAAATACCAATGGTGAGTACAAGAACTACCAGGCCTTGGCTGCCAAGCTGACGCACCATATGCAGATGATGGCTGCCCTGTTGCAAGTATTAAAGTTTGATCGAACTTTACACTATTAGGAAGGACAGAAGGAAGAGGACGGCCTTCTCTGTAGCGCTCCATCAAGTAAACAGCAACACAAAACTCCCTCAATGAAAGCATGCTATCACTATCCTGGTCTGATAAGTCCCACACTTGCCTCAAGATCTCTGGCATCATTGAAAAAAGAAAGAAATGAAATATCATTATACATAAATAGCATAAGCCAATAATCTAAAAAAAATAAGGTTTGATTCCAGCTTCATCCTAATACAATTTTTAATTTTTAGAAAGCAGTTCAAGGGGGGTCAAAGAGTTTCTGCATAATGCAAATATGTATTATGAATTAATTAAAGTCAACCTCTAGGTAGTCTCCAACTCAAGAACAGGTTTCTAGCCTCTACACCAGTAATTTTACCATCCCTGTCCTTGTCAACTTCCAAAAAAACTTTAGTATACTTCCGAATGTCAGACTGAGTAATTTTCGGCCATGGAACTTCATTTTGAGTGGAAACACTGCTATCAGGGCCACTTGGAACACTGTGAGCAGGCAATGCCAAATTGTTTTGTATTGTCTCTGGCTGATTCTGTTTAATAGGGGGTTGAGTCCTCTGAAACTGATTTGCAACTGGAGGAAGGCCTGGCATGACCTGAATATTAACATGCTGACTTGGATTTGCAGCATTTTTAGGTGCTACAGGGGCCGAATTAGATGAGTTGAAGAAACTGTTTGCAGACGAGATAGGTATGGAAGCATCCTGCTTAATCTGGGCTGCTGAAAATACGTCGCCACCAAATATTGAATTGGAAGAAAAACCATTTCCGGAAACACCCAAAACGTTTGAATCCTTGGAAGTAGTTTGGAAGGAGGCTGACACTGGATCAAGAGGCCTTGAAGTGATTGGGGAAGAGTGTACATGTTGGATTTGCGGTTTAGAAGTTGCATCCAGATTTGAATGAACTATACCAAAACCATCTTTATCTGCAATGGACGCATGGTTAGGAACTTGAGAATTAACAGCTCCTTGTGACCCGCTACTCCTACCAGCAATCCCGTCAGTAGATAAAGATAGATTTATTGCAGTACTCGCAGCATTGAGTCCTTGACTAAACCCCTGCACTGGATGTGATGCTGCAACTTGTGAAGCTTGAGGCGGCCTCGAAACATTGCTCTGTGTAGCAGGGGAACCCTGGTAGTTTAAACCTGTGGCTATGGGCATCTGTTGTCCAGTGAGACCAGTGTTTTGAGAAGGATTTGGCCTAATGAAACCAGCCTGCGCAGGCTGCAATAACATGTTATTTGCTTGGGGTGTGGAAGTGAATGTGGAATTCAGCTGAGGAGGAGGCCTCATAAAGCTAGCCTGAGGAGGCTGTTGTATCATGCTATTTGCATGGGGTGAGGATGTAGCCATAGAATTCATCTGAGAAGCATGAGGCCTCATAAATCCTGACTGAGAAGATTGAGGCAATGGTGCAGCAGTCATTTGAGAAGTAGGCAGTCGCACAAAACCTGTTGAAGCAGGCTGTGGCAATATGTTATTTGTTTGAGGTGCAGAAAAAGCCATGGAATTTATCTGAGAACCAGGTGGCCTTATAAAACCAGTCTGAGTAGGCTGCACTAACATTTGATTTGCTTGGGGTGCAGAAGTAGCCACGCTATTCATCTGTCCTGCAGAACCAGGAGCAGGATTTATCTTTGGCGCTGGAATTTTAGCTGCAGCTGGACCATATAATGCTGCCTTCACAATATCTGCTGTAAGTTGTCGCCCACTTTGAGCAACTGTCACAAGTCTTAACGCATTGTGGAACTCCAAACGCCCCAAAGAACTGTTTCCACCAGCAGCATAGGACCATACCTGAAGCCACTCAAATGTTACTAAAGAAAACAAGAAATCTTGAGAAATGAAAAAAGTTCCAAGTTCAATCAGACATTGATTATTCGGATTACTCGATGAATTTTCAGGAAATGGTTCCTAATCCCCACTTTAAATGTACCTAATTCGTTGCTCTTATACGAAGCTCTATAATTAATAATGAAACAGATCTAAAAGCATTCAACTCAACAAATAGCAACATCACAGATCCAAACGAAAATCCACCTATAAGCATTCCCCCAATATCAACAAATAGCAGACATTGATTATTCGGATTACTCAATGAATTTTCAGGAAATGGTTCCTAATCCCCACTTTAAATGTACCTAATTCGTTGCTCTTATACGAAGCTCTATAATTAATAATGAAACAGATCTAAAAGCATTCAACTCAACAAATAGCAACATCACAGATCCAAACGAAAATCCACCTATAAGCATTCCCCCAATATCAACATTCAATCAAACAAACATATATGATAAATTCCAAAATTGAAGAAAATAAACCTAGGAAATATACGAAATGACAGTAAAGACGAGGTACAGAACTAGAGCAAGGGTTTCTTTGGGTAAGTTGGATCCCTGGAAGAAAGCGACCGCCTCTGCTCCGCTGATCCTTCCATCCTGGTCCACATCAGCTCTCCTGAAGTAGGCATCGAAGGCGTCCGCGTTTGGAACCTGGCCCTGTTCCGCCGCCATACAAATTTAAAGATCGGTAGTCGAGAACACCAGAAAACCCGCCCGTCGGCGGTCGGAAGGAAGCAGAACACGTTTACAGTGTTAGGCGTTCGGCCGAGATCCTGACTTGGTCGAAACGAATTTTTAGTAACTTCCAAGCAAGATTCACAGCTGGATACGAGAAATGGAAGAGGCCTTTCCCCGTGCGAGGCTGAGGATCCGATCGCCAGTTATGCAACGGAAGATGGCCGCCGAGAGGCTACTCAGTGCCGATTTTCGAAGCTACCAATGATTTCCTCTTCGTCGATCGATAGCTGCAGCAAGGAGAAGGAGAAGCGGAAGATTGGAAGATGAAGAGATTTGGGACTTCGGGTTGGAAATTTGTGAAGAAACACTCTATTAATCCATAATTTCATGACTAATAAATCTATTAATTCATATCTATACTACTATATAAAAGTGGCTTGGGATTCCACCCATAGCAAATCTTGACCGTTCATTTATAAATTTTAAATTAATCCACAACGTTCATATATGACTATTCAAATTCTATAATTTATCACTTCCTATAAAACATATATTTATTCATTTATTTACTGCCACAATTAATTCTAATACAAACTAATTAATGTCCATTTGTACGTGTTAATTTCTTTTAAATAAACAAAATAAAGCCCTCGTCGGTTACCTATTATATCGCTCCGTTTCGGCTTGGCCTTTGACATTCCGCCTTCTTCTCCGGTAGAATCACCAATTGCCAATTAATGCGCGTTTATATGTTCAAATTTCATTTAAACAAATTAATGCCCACTTAAGCCTCAGTTATCTATTATTCACGATTTGCTCGGTCTTGATTCTTCGGCTTGACCTTCAATCTTCTTCTTCGGTGGCTTATCCAATTATTTCAGCCTATTCAACTTCTATAACGGTTCCTCTTCACGACATCTTAAATTTCCAACCATTCTCCATCCTGAGCTTGGCGGAAAAGTTCGTTCCCCTACATTACTTTTATCACTCTCAGCACTGCCCCAACACTTTTCTTCTCACATTTTGAAAGGATTTTGTAAACTTTTTTCTCTCTCTCATTTCCGTCACCCTATAATTTGAAAGGATTTGACCAACGACATATTGCTTTATTCAGCACATCATTGGTTCACGCCGCGGCCTCTTCGTCACTCCTTTTCTCCGCCTCTCGGCCCTCTCGCCAAAATCCCTTCAGCCATCAATAGCAGCATAATCATAAACCACAACCCCAAAAGGCGGAGAAGAAGGCAGGGTTCTCCGTGCTGCATGCACTCTAACACATTGTAAGTTAATTTCACTTCTGATTTATGTCACATTTGGGTAGTTTTTTGGTTGAATGGATTGTCTTTATGGTTTTGCGAATATTTAAGACTGAAATGGAGCGATTCGGCTTTGATTTCGGGGGCGAGATATACCAGCGTCTCGCCGTCTATTGTGCTCTTTCCGACGCAAGGATTCAAACTCGTCAAGGTGAAAATGTTTTTTTTCTTAATTATTTTTTTTAAATTTTTTACTTACTGTTATCTGCAGCACATTTTTTCACAACCACATTTAAATTTAGCAAAGTATCTTGTGAACTGGTTGTGCTGCTGGTGCTGTCTCTTTCGTATTCTGGCACGTCTGCGCCTATGTGAGCAGTGAGGCTGAATCAGTGGCAGCTTCTATATCTATCATCCTGATATCTTGGTCATCCCTCCATGTTAATTACTTGAATGGGATGCTTGCGATGCACTAATGCACATCCTTGTTGGAGATTGATGGTTGATTACATGAGCACCAATATGATTTATTTTTAGGTGCTGTTTGGTTAGAAGTAGGATTAAATGCTACAAATACAGATTTATTACACATTGAATGGATTAAAACCTAAAAAACAGGTTGACATGACAATTGTAAAATCTCACTCTCTCTTGATATATTGTTTGGTTTTTTTTTTTAATTCAGTATGTAGGATTTGTAAGATAAATTCTGAAATGTGTTAAATTCTATGAATGACATGGTTTGACAAATATGGAGCTCTACGACTAACAAGGCTACAAAGAGATTTATCAAAATATGGGATTTAATGTTACAGAAAATTTGTATGGTTGCCTGGTAGAGTTTAAATAAAGTCTTGTTTAATAAGATACCAAACAACTACTAAGAGATCGAATAATTATCACTGTGAGCCGTGACGGGCGCTATGATTGGAATGGATTCTATTTATATAACAAATCGAAGTGACATAAAATAAGAACTGTAAAACTTATGGCTTCGATTTGTGATGGGTGCTATGATTTGCTTGCTTAATTCACATTCAAATTTTTTAGAGGTGCATCTCCCAATTATTTTAATCTTGAAATTGACATTCTAGCTTGCTTTAGACATGACTTACTAAGAAATTATTACTATTTTCTTTCTTCTTACCTCTACTTCCAAAACATATGGCATTGTATTGTTTAATATAATCATTAGATTAATCATTCATTGGTTTAGATATTGGTAGATAGACTATTAAATGAAAAATGTATTGGTAGATACGCTGCTAAATCAAAAATATTTGTGAAAAAAAATATATTTAAAGTTGCATATTATTTTAACAATACAATTCTAATTTTATCTTATTATTGACATGAATAGAAAGTCAATGTTATTATCACAAAGAAAAATTGGCTAAACTCAATTAATTTATTTGAAATTGACTTTCAATATAAGTCACACTAAATAATCATTGTATAAAAACATAAAAATCATGATTTTTATGCCATAAAATTTTAATCATTCAAATTCAAACATATCGTTCGGTTTGATGCAAAATCATAATCAACAAAATAACAGCCCAAGCATACAAACAATCGAAAATTAGGAATGACAATTGATTTGAGGCTGCTTTGTTTTCTAGACTTGGGAAGATAAAATATGATAAATTGTTTTGATCTGACTTGGATGGAAAGAGGAAATATGAAACGGTGAAGATAAGGTGTGTTGATGCCTTGATGATGAGATTTAATTTTGATAATTCAAAATTATTAATTAATATTAGATTAATTATAAACTGAAATGATAATATTTTACATTAGATTAGAAATAATTGAATCATAAATAAATTCTTTATAAAAATCCCTTTTTTCTAAAAAATATTTTTTCTGATTAATTGTTACAATAATTGAAAATCATATAACATTTACTATTTAACAATTAATTAAATTTTAATTAAAAGAATTGTTTTTTATTCAAATATGTAAACACAATTTATTTTTCTCTCTAAAAAATTTAAAC